ACTATTACTTAGTAAAGAGAAATGCAGAGTATTTACTTCAAATGACTTCAACAAGACCAGTTTTGTCATGAAAGGAAAAATGAGTGATCCAAAGGAAGATTATAACATAAGGTTCAGGGGTGCCTGGGTGGCTCAGTGGGTTGAAGCCTCTGCCTCTGGCTCGGGTCATGATCCCAGAGTCCTGGGATCAAGCCCCGCATTGGGCTCTCTGCTCACTGGGGAGCCTGCTTCCTCTTCTCTCTCTGCCTGCCTCTCTGCCTACTTGTGATCTCTCTCTGTCAAATAAATAAATAAAGTCTTTAAAATGAGGTTCAAAGGAGTTGACCAAAACAAAAAAAAAGTCTTGAAGAAGTATTAAAAATAAGACACTCAAGCAGACACAATTTTAAAATAACATTTCAATATAAAAGAAGGCTTCCACTAGAGCAGACCATAGAAATCCACGTGTCACACACAGCTTTTATAAGATTTCATTTTGAACAGTGACTCAAGAAGGTGTAAGAAGGTACACAGTGAATAAAGAAATCTGCCTACTTAACATTAATCGTGCAGTGAAGATATATATATAGATATACATATATATCTATATATATATATCTCACAGGAATAAAGAGGTTAAAACCCACACTGTGATTTTACACTATTCCAGCTTTTTCCTTTTTAAATCTGATACAGTGCACCAATCTCCACAAAGGAAAAATACTTATAAACGTGCACAAAGGTCTGTCTGAACAAAGTCTCTCTTTTGAAATGCTCATGTGTGTACAAAGTCCTTGAATGCACAAGAGTAAAGAATGAATAAGAAGGCTTTAATTCCTCTTAAAAGAGTAATCACCAAAGTCCAGGCAAAGTCAAAAGGAAAAAAATATATAAGCAAATTAAAATCACTACTAGAAGATTCCATTTTCACTACTTTTTCTTTTCTATCTGTTCCTGACTCCACACAAAGCTGGTGCTTTAAACTCAAAACATCACTAAAAAGCCCATGTTCACAGCCATCTCACTTATAAAAATGCTTTAACTCTTCAGCACTTAAACTCATGTGACTTAAGCTTACTCTTAATTTCTTAAAAAACAGGAAATCATGTAATCTGGGAAACAAATTTTCTCTGCCCATCTACTTCCCAAGTACTACATAAAAATTAAGAAGCAGGGCTTTTGTAAATAGGAGAAAGTAAGGATTAAAGCCTTTGTTCTTTGCAATACTTGCCAAAGAAATATTTTGTTTTCTTGCTGAAAAAGGAGTAAAAAGATTACTGTAATAGTTAAATGCCATTTCCCAAGCTCTGAAGGCTTTTCCTAACAGGGACAAACATATCAGATTTGCTTTGCCATTTCTACAAATAGAATGCTGTTACATGTGCCATTGTTTGGATAAAAAAACATCGGGCCATAAGGAAGTTGTGACTTCATATCTCACAATAAAATGGTGGTGAACCTTTGTTAGTTGTTATGCAATAGTCTGTTAACAACTACCGTGAAATGAAAATCTCCCACAGACACTGTTCGTCTAAATACAGGTGCGCCTGATTTTAACAGAAGACACAATCCGGAAAGTTGTGTATCTATGCAATCTTATTTTAAATCTGTCATGATAGTTTGCTATCAAAAGGCACTCCCCCCAAAAACACTACCTGAATGCAACTAATTTTAGATATTTGAAACTTACTTTTCTTAAAGTAAGGCAGATTTATATTTTTCAGGGATTTCAGACAGCTGAAGAGAAAAAAATACCACAGCTCTTCCTATCAGGAGCCTGTCAGGGAACACACTTTCAGTAAGCAAGTGCTATTAGTTCCAACTGAGAGGAAGAAGCAGGGAATGCCACAGAGAGCAGATAAGTCTCCAAAGAATGGTCAGAGAAGAAGCTATGACCAGGAGTTGAAGCCTGAGTCACGTTACTGCTAAGGTCTTGAAGAAAAAGTGACTGTATACCACAAGGTACATTTAAGCAGGGATGATGGGTAAGTGCTGATTGGTTTATGTTTCTATTTTTCTTTGTGAGTGAGATGTCAGGGATGGACTCTAAAGGCAGAAAATAAAGTCTGACTTTCTCTGATATGAAAACTGACCACGGTTTGAGACTTCAGAATAAACTACTACAAACATAACCTAGAACTGACTTTTTTTAGAAAGGCAAAGAGGTAACCCAATGGGAAAGAATAGGGTATCATAAAAAGAACCTCAACCCCTAATTCACACCATATGAAAATTAACTGTAGACTGTAGAAGAAAACATAAAATGTCTTCATCTCCTGGGGACAAAGATTTCTCAGGATTCAAAAAGTAATGATCATGAAACAAAAAACCGGATAAATAACTGATTTCACAAATATTTACAACTTTTGCTAACTACTGACATCACTAAGAAAATGAGTAGGTAAGCCACAGACTAGAAGAATCTATTCACAGGACATATATCTGGGAAAGAATTTATATCCAGAATATATAAAGAATTCCTATAAATCAACAATTAAATGACACACAAGTCACAAAAGAAGATACACAAATGGTCAATAAGCACAAGTAACAGAGCTCAGAATCATTAGTCATGGAGAAACAAACCACCACCACATATCCACTACAACAGCTAGAATGAAAAAGAAGGACAACTCCAAATATTGTCAAGACTTAAACAAACTGAACTCTCATTCGTTACTGGTGGAAACAGGAAATGGTATGAAGCTTGGGGGTACTGATGGGCAGTTTTTGATAAAGTTAAACGATATCTACCATAGGACCCAACAGCAATTCCAATTTCAAGTATTTACCCAAAAGAACTCAAAACATACACCCACTGAAAGATTTTTTTAAAATTCCTTATAGTAAAACACTTAATAATCAAAATGTTCATCAACATTAGAATAAATAAACCATTTTGTGTGGTATATTTGTGCAATGGAATACTACTGAACCTCAAAAAGAAACCTCTAAAAAAAGTTACTGATACTTGAAAAACAAACATTAATCTCATAGTGAGCAAAAGAAGCCAGATGATCCCATGTATATGAAGTAACAGAACCAGCAAAACTAATCTATGGTGACAGAAATCACAATGGCTACTTTTGGAGAAAATGGGGGAGAGAGCACAAATGAAGTCTAAGGAATGATAATAATGTAACTCCTGACAGGCTTGTGGGCTACCCACATGTGTACATATGTCAAAAATCACACATGATATACTCAAATGTTGTAAACTTTACTCAATGTAAATTTTATTTTAAAAAATGAACTTTTCAATAAAATAAGAATTACAAATACTGTCAATTCTAGTAAGCTTGCTTTACATACTGCTATTAGTTACCAATTCTGAAACAACATTCTGAGAATCTTAGGCTTATAACTATGAGTAAAATAGAGTAGTGGTAACCATAGTTCTCATTATTGGCAAAGGAAGACATATAGAGAGAAAAGACAAGGGAATTACACATATGGAAATGGAGGTACTACTTTGTGGTCTTAGAATGAAATTTAAAAGTATCATAATCAACTCGGGATTCTTAGTAGATAGGTATTAATATATGTATGTGTGGACATGTATTTCACATACACATATGCATTTCATAGTTCCACTGCAGAAGGGGCCTAGAAGCAATAACACACCAGTAGCAATGAGTACACCCAGTGCCCAGATCTTGCTTTCTGTATAACATTATTCAATAAAAGAACCCAGGGAAACTTGAAGAAACGTCTGTTTCTGGGTTAGAGCAGAGAAACTACAAGATGAATCTGGAACAAATTGTAGCTCCAGAACGTAAAGTTATCAAAGAATCATGAGGATAAGCCAAAGGACAGAGCAGCCAGCTGGACTGGGCAACCAATGGCCAAATCTGGGACAACATGAGTATCGAAATAAATAATGACAGCAGTGAACTATACTACTTTCAGTAAGAATCCATGAGTCCTTGCTTACTTCAGTCAATAAATGGGAAAAAGAGAAAAAGCTTCTGCTTACATTAGATTATCAGTAAATACATAAGGACTGATGAATTAGAAAATCATCAATGGATGGTAACTAAATCTAGTGGGTAAAATTTGATGAGGAGCAACATATTTGTATTTACATAATCTCACAAATTCACTTACAAAATACTTTTGAATGGCAAAGGGAAAATAGGAAACTTGTTAAGTATAACTGAGCAGACACAACACTAAGCAAGGGATGAAAACTACATGCAACCAACTGACATCATATACCACCTGACATGGCACACTGACAACACTTCACTTGTGATTCTGTGCTACAGATGCACACTCAAATATAATCATGAAGAAATTATGAGACAGACTCAAATTGAAGACATTCTATAAAATATCCTATAGATACTCCACAAAAATATGAAGGTCATGAACCAAAAAGAAAGGTGAAGGAGTGTTCCAGACAAAGAGACTAGAGAGATGTGACAAATCAATGAAATACATGTTCCTGGAATGAATCCTTGACGGGGGCGGGGGGGGGGGCTGTAAGAAACTCTGTGAAGTTGATATTATTTTATAAGGAACCCTCTTTAAAAAGTTAAATAATTTGTTTCAAGTCATACAATTTCTATACTGTAAACAGAACCACTACGGTATGTACTCTCAGCATTCAATGTATTGGGCAGGATGCCATCTCCTTGGCTGGCTGTATAGAAAGCCAAAGTCTCAATCAAAAATCTTCACACACACATTAAATGCAGTTAAAATTAAGTATTCTCTCATAATCTTTAATAAAACTAATTTTACGCATCTGCCTAACTGTATCAAAGTTGAACATTTCAAGTTGTCATATTAAAAAAAGAGTGAATGTAAGGATCTGTCATTCATTTATTCTAGAGCAACTTACTTTAAAAGAATTTTATTAAATATAAATCAAAGTAAACTCTAGTCAGATGTGATAAAGAAATTACAACAGAAGCAACTGTAATCCCCGCAAAATTGAACCATAATAACAAATAAAAACTCACACTCTTAGGATAGTTACTAATTCAAATTTCTGTACTTATGAAAGGTACACATACCTTTTCCTAAATGTGTGTTTATGCTCATATATCTAGCTGTTCCTGTAAGGCTCTTGTGTTCTCTGTATGGTATGTGTTTCTTTGTCTCTGGATCAATATATTCCTTTGCCAAACCAAAATCTATAATATGAATAACTTGCTGGGTTTTGTTTCCTGGTCGTCCTATTAAGAAGTTCTCAGGCTTTACATCTCTGTATATCAAGTTCTTTGAGTGGACATACTCCATGCGAGAGATCTTGATTCACACACAAAAAAAAAAAAAAGAAGAAGAGAAAAGGAAGAAAGAAAGTTTTATTTCAGGCTGTCACTAGCATAAAAAAGCATGATAGAGACAAAACAAAATTCTCACAATGAAATCAACATAAAGAAGAGACCTATCAGAAAACAAAAATAATCTTACGCATCTGCCTAACTGTATCAAAGTTGAACATTTCAAGTTGTCATATTAAAAAAAAGAATGAATGTAGGGATATCTGTTTCAACCCTTTAAAAGTAATATAATATCAGTCTATAGTTTCTCAAAAATATATCCAATTAGGACCAAAAGTCTTTGCTTTCACTGTATTGGTCAGTTACAAATCTAAGTATTTGAATTTCATGAATTCCTTTCATACTGGTGAGCCGGATTCAGTCAGCACTTACAGATGATCCCACCTCAGATAATCAAAAGCATTACTAATACCAAGTCTTGAACTGATACTTGCAAAAACACGTATTCATAAAGTTGCCATTTGTTCTTCCTTATCAATTCAATCAGCGAGCAACTGTTACAGTTGTATTAAAGAAACTGAGATCTAAACCATTAAATAAAAATAACACAGTACCCTTTAGGATATCTTTCTTTTTCTTTTTTACAATGTATTTGTGTCTTTCCTTAGGTATTAAACGTTTTAAAAGATCCTGAAACCAGAAAATCTTGGAAGATCACTTTAATGATAATACAGCACGTTTTCACCAATTCTTTTACACATTTTCAAATAAGGTTCATTGTACAAAATGTCACAATGTAGGACATTACAAACAAGAAAACAAAATTGCTTCGTTTAGCAGTAATAATAGTTGACAACAAAATGTAAACATACAGTCACTTAGGCCATTTTCATTTGTTAACAAATTCTGGATCCTAATATACAATATTTCTATGACCCATACTTTTCAGTAATGATATACGTTGAGCATTTTCCAGGTTATAAGACCTTTTTTTAATATGTACTTTTTAATAACTACTTATTATTTTACATCTATTAATAATTTACTGAACTAATCCTGTAATTTCTCTACATTTGGGTTGTTTCCCTCATTATGAAAAACATCCTTGCACAAAAAGCTTAAGGATATGTGAACAGTTCCACCAGCTATATTTGTAGAAGTGGAATTAATGAGTCAATGGAGAAAAACAACTCGCAGATTTTGCAACATACTACTGGCAGAGATTTCAAAACTGCCTTAAATCATCCTCTGAGTGGTTTCCCCTCAGGTTCTCTGAAATTTAAATATTTTATAAGACTCCCTCACTGTTTCTTCTTTTCCTGGGCCATTAGAATTTATTACTACTAACATTATAAATCCACATTTCTGGGAGTTCTCTTTTCTATGCATTCATCTTCTCTATGAAAACAGGGCTAGAAACAACTCTCAAACTTGAGAACGTTCTGACTTAAAGCAGTAAGGTATTAATTCTTTCACCCAAATAAAATACAGTTGGCTCAGTTATTTTAAGTTCCATGCATCCTAAAAAGACAGTGAGATGATAAGTAGAAACTTCATTAGCTCAAATGTTCTGTAAAGGTAACGTCCCAAAGCCTGAAACTTGCAATACAAATGTGTGACCAAAAGAACCATACAAACCGTCCAAACAGCTTCAGAACCTCCTGCTTGACTTACCAGCTGGATGGCGATCATGAGAACGGTCTTAAGGGAAAACGTCCTGTCACATAAATCAAACAAATCTTCCAAACTAGGTCCCAGCAGTTCGAGCACCATGGCGTTGTATTTACCACAAGGGCCAAAATAGTAAACTTGAGGTATACCATCTGGGAGAAAGAAAAATGATTTTAATCACTTCCTCATCTTAAATGTCAAACTTCTCTTCCTAGGAAATTAATAAGCAATTTAAGAAATAATTTTGTATTTTTAAGATGTGCAGCAGTATTTGAGCTTTTTGCCTACACGTAATGAACTTTTTCTGAGCCAACCTTCTCCCTCCCTGTACCTTCTGCATGTTCCACAGGCAGCCTGGTCACACCTGTCCTGTAGCTGCATTACTGAACGACATCACAGACAGTGCCTCCGTGTTGGTCTCCAACACCGCACCAGAGACGGAACGGGGTCTTTTAGCCTCATATTTCCATGGCCTAGAGAAACACTTGCCACACAGGAAAGATCCAATTTTTTTTTTTTTTTTTTTTTTTTTTTTAAAGCAAGTAGTCACTGCTCTCTTAAATAAGTCTGAGGGAAGCATAATGCTAGCATCACCCTCCCAGATTCCCATCCTCTGGTATACACACACACAGTACACTTCCTTCCCTATGAGTGCAGGTAAAACCCCCAATTTCACTCTTGCGGGTAGGTTACGTTATGTGACAAAGGTGACGACATCAAGGCCCCATCAGTGGGCCTGATCTAATCAGGTTGAGTCCTTTAAAAAAGAGGGTCTAAAGGTCAAAGATATTCAAAGCAGCAGAGAAGCTCTCCTGTTGGTTTTTAAGATACAAACTGTCCTGTCATAGAAGGCGCCATATGCCCTGGAATGGTGGGCAGGCTCTAGGAACTGAATCCCATAGCCACAAGGAACTGAACTCTGGAAATAACCAGTGAGCTTGGAAAAGGACTCTGAGCCTCAGGCCAGACTCTTGTCCAGGCTTACACCTTGATTTCACCCTGGCAAAACCCTCAACAGAGGACCCAGTTCAGCCATCCCCAGAGTCCTGGCCCAAGGAAAATGAGAGATAAGGGTCTCGTGCTCTATGCCACTAAATACTAGGTAATTTATTATATGAGAATGTAAAACAATACAAACTCCAAATATGAAGTCTAAATGCACAGAAATAATCTGTACTTGATTTTTTTGAACTAAGAGTTTCACAATAAACGAACATATCATCAGTGATCAATTTATCTTAAAATACATTTATTTATTCATTTGTACAAAGCAAACTTCTTCCATCTTCAATGTCTCACTTTTACTCACAAGTGATTTTTTTTTTTCTGCTCACTAGTTTGATTCTAGTAATTTCAGAAGGGAAAAGACTCTCTCAAGATGTAACTTCCCTATTCTTTTTTAAACTGTCCTCTTCTTTTTTAAATATATTTCAGTTTGCTTCTCCATAACATTAGTAGTTTGGATAAGACCAGTTTTTCTCAAATGTGAATGAGTGAGCCAGCAGGCCATCTGGGGACAGGAAGACAAGATAATAAATCATGGTGGGGGTGGGGGAAGGGGGATAAGTTCAAACTGCATACATGACATCCCTTCCCAGAAAGATTCCTGACCAACCCCTCCATGTGTGTATATCAGCACACCCCACCACACACACACTTAACACTTCTCATCATCACAGAGTATCACTATTTTAGTATAAGCCACTCTTACCAGAGCCTGTCTTGCATTCATGTGTCAGATTTACCCCTCACATGTGTAAAAGCAGGAAAAAAAAGTTCAGAAATAGTGAATGAGAAGCTCACTAGAGTTTATTCTTTAATACTGCTTTTATTATGCTATTAAGAGCCTGGAGATGCAATTAAGACATTAAAACTTCTCAGCTACTAAGTTTTTAAAATTATTTCCACAATGCCTTTTATCCCCCCACTCTATCCCTGAAAGTTAATTTTCATGCTGTTAATTAAGAAATCTCTAATAACTTACTTCTACTCTTTAGCTTATTGCTTCTGATCTGTAGGACGAAAGCAAACCAGATCAATCAAGCTTGTTAGAACTACATATGGAAGGTAAAAATAAACAGGTTCTGAGGTTCTTCCATGAAAGGACTGTCAAGGGGCTTTCTGACTTCCTTCTGAGTCACCATCTGTATTCCTAATAATTAAAGTTGTTGTGAAATGACCTCTCAATAAGGTAGCAATATACTTTGGTTGATTAAATGACTGACTTAGGGACGCCTGGGTGGCTCAGTCAGTTAAGAGTCTGCCTTCAGCTCAGGTCATGACCCCTGGGTTCTGGGGTGGAGCCCCCATCGGGTTCCCTGCTCAGCAGAAAGTCTGCTTCTCCCTCTGTCCCTCCCTCTGCTGTGCACATGAGAGTACACTGTCTTAAAATCTTTTTTAAAAAATAATAAATGACTGATTTATTCAAATGTTTTCAAAGGTTTCCAAAAACAGAAAATCGTTTCAGAAATCTCACCATCTTAAGTAATTCAATGAATGCTTACAGAACATCCACTATATCCTTATGCACATAGTGGGACACTATGGATTAGGGAGGACACCATGATCAAGGATAATTTAACCCAGGAATGCAACTTTAGGTTAACATCCAAATATCCACCAATGCAACTCACCACAGTAACAGAATAAATATGAAAAACCATCACATCATCTTAATAGATACTAAAAAAGCATGTGACATTAACTCTCAGCAAATCTGGAATTGAAGGTAACTCCTTCAACCTGGTAAAGGGCCTCTATGAGAAACTCATAACCAACATCATACTTAATGGTGAAAGAATGAATGTTTTCCATTCATGGCTGTGATCAAGACGAGGATGTCCACTTTTACCTCTTTTATTCAACAGTACAATGAAGCAAAAGAAAAAAATAAATAAAAGGTGTTCTCAAAAAATGAACAAAGATAGTCTGTTACTTTAAGAAAAAGTGAAATAATTTACTTGTTCCTATTTGTTACCAATAATAAAATTCAAGCTTTCACATGAAAATCAGATTTTGGCTAAATTCATATCTGCCAGGATGACCTTTGAAAGCTTCCCAATACTAAAAAGAAGAAAAACAGAATACCTTTTCTGATAAAACTGTGGTGATATTAACTATTATGACTTAATTTTAGGTAGTAAATATGGCAATAATTGAAAATCTAATTCAGTAAACCAGTATTTTCCAAGTGACCAATGTATGTGTTTATAAAACCATGCAAAGGTAAATGATCTAAAGTACAGTGGGTTTTAATGTAAGAGAGAATAGGAAAAGGTTTTTCCATGTGGCTTCTAACTCTATACTGCAACTTGAAGAAACTACCACTGGTCAAGTTTTAGTGTAGTGTCAAAAGGATAGTTATAATTTAAAAGTTAATTAATTAGCCTAGACTAACAAGGCTGTGAGTTAAAATCTTGTTAGAGAAATATGAACTGGGACATTCTGGGCGGGGGGGGGGGGGGGGAGCCCTCACCTTTCCAAAAAAAAAAAAAAAATGCATACAACAATACTGAAGCTGTGTTGTTGGTAACAGTGAAAGAAAGAAAGAAAGAAAGAAAGAAAGAAAGAAAGAAAGAAAGAA